ACTGACCAGTATGAGGTCTTACTGCACTGACCAGTATGAGGTCTTACTGCACTGACCAGTATGAGGTCTTACTGCACTGACCAGTATGAGGTCTTACTGCACTGAGCAGTATGAGGTCTTACTGCACTGAGCAGTATGAGGTCTTACTGCACTGAGCAGTATGAGGTCTTACTGCACTGAGCAGTATGAGGTCTTACTGCACTGACCAGTATGAGGTCTTACTGCACTGACCAGTATGAGGTCTTACTGCACTGACCAGTATGAGGTCTTACTGCACTGACCAGTATGAGGTCTTACTGCACTGACCAGTATGAGGTCTTACTGCACTGACCAGTATGAGGTCTTACTGCACTGAGCAGTATGAGGTCTTACTGCACTGAGCAGTATGAGGTCTTACTGCACTGAGCAGTATGAGGTCTTACTGCACTGACCAGTATGAGGTCTTACTGCACTGACCAGTATGAGGTCTTACTGCACTAACCAGTATGAGGTCTTACTGCACTGAGCAGTATGAGGTCTTACTGCACTGAGCAGTATGAGGTCTTACTGCACTGACCAGTATGAGGTCTTACTGCACTGACCAGTATGAGGTCTTACTGCACTGACCAGTATGAGGTCTTACTGCACTGAGCAGTATGAGGTCTTACTGCACTGAGCAGTATGAGGTCTTACTGCACTGAGCAGTATGAGGTCTTACTGCACTGAGCAGTATGAGGTCTTACTGCACTGACCAGTATGAGGTCTTACTGCACTGACCAGTATGAGGTCTTACTGCACTGACCAGTATGAGGTCTTACTGCACTGACCAGTATGAGGTCTTACTGCACTGAGCAGTATGAGGTCTTACTGCACTGAGCAGTATGAGGTCTTACTGCACTGAGCAGTATGAGGTCTTACTGCACTGAGCAGTATGAGGTCTTACTGCACTGAGCAGTATGAGGTCTTACTGCACTGACCAGTATGAGGTCAAGTTTGAGGTCTTTGTGGTTATCATTTTTATTGACAAAATTTTCATTACGATTTAACGTATCAGTAAATGATGGAAACAAAAAAAATGTCTTCAGTTAACTGTAAATTTGATATAAAGAACTTAAGATTAAATTTCTTCTAATTTTATATTTATTGTAACTATATGGAGCATCGAACATACATATACGTAATGGTCAATTAGATAGTAGAATTTGGTACTATTCACTCAAGTCCGAATAAAAATAAAAAATAAAAACTAAGCTTAAATAATCCTAGTATAGGACATATGTATTATATTAGGCGTCAGATAGCGTGTATTAGGCCTAGGAAGGTTAGGTTAAGGTTTCTTATCAACATCAATGCAAAAACGTTTCCGGTTTGTCCAAGATCAAAATCAAATTCAAAATCAAAAACATTTCTTCTTCCTAAGTGCCTTTTACGTCAATATATATATACGATGGTCCTCATGGTTGCCATAAGCACATCCTAAACACCAGGATGGGCTGATATCAACATGTAAAAATATAATTTTTGCATAAATTTTTGAATGTAGAAATTTCATGAACAAAAAAGTTCCACGTACAAATCTGAAACCTGTGGTCATAGTGGTCATTTTTCCCGTGCATGTAGTAACACATGTGTGTATATAACACATATATAACACATGTGTTACAACATACACGAACATACGCGAACAGTATGAAATAATCTGTCCGCAAAGCTGACCACCGAGTGCGGACGGTGGTTGGGTTAAGGGTCTGACGACTTCCAATTCTTATGAACAGTCAGTGTGGTCTAACGGGTTAAGTACCGGATACGCTAAGTGTGGAGCCCTGGTTGTCTGGGTTCGAATCCATCAGGGGTGAGGAGTTTTCGGTTGCATATATTGGCTTGAGGACCAATCAAGCTTGTTCGCAAACATACATGTCATTATTTATATTATATATATATATGTCGTACCTAATAGCCAGAACGTACTTCTCAGCCTACTATGCAAGGCCCGATTTGCCTTATAAGCCAAGTTTTCCTGAATTAATATATTTTCTCTAATTTTTTTCTTATGAAATGATAAAGCTACCCATTTCATTATGTATGAGGTCAATTTTTTTTTATTGCAGTTAAAATTAACATAGATATATGACCGAACCTAACCAACCCTACCTAACCTAACCTAACCTATCTTTATAGGTTAGGGTAGGTTAGGTAGCCAAAGAAGTTAGGTTAGGTTAGGTAGTTTAGGTAATCGAAAAACAACTAATTCATGAAAACTTGGCTTATTAGGCAAATCTGGCCTTGCATAGTAGGTTGAGAAATGAGATCTGGCTATTAGGTACGACATATATATATATATATATATATATATATATATATATATATATATATATATATATATATATATATATATATATATATATATATATAAAGTTTGTGAGGGTACCACCTCTGGTGCCAATGTGGGGACCCATAGCCTCGGAGAAGAAAATAAAAAGTATTCAGAGGAGACCTTGTGGTCTCTCACTGAACACTAATA